AACAGCACCGCATCCATAATCCTCGAATATTTTTGACGCTCAGGTGAGGTGAGTAGAGGGGCAAGGCTGAAGGAGCCTTCGATATAACACCTACCTTGGTGGTTCCCTTTACCTAGGCGGTTCACATTACCCTAGAGTTGTTTCCCTTACCTAACCGGTTCCCCTTACCAAGGTACTTCACCCAGCGTACGTTGTTCTGCTTTTCTACGTGAACCTTTCCTCTTGTGTTTATCCTGCTCAGTTTATTTTTATGTTATAGTACTTGAATTCCTGCTTTTGTTGGGATTAGTACTTATTTAAGTACTGAATGTGTGTACTGGACGCCAGGAAGGTATTTGATATATGTAGTTGTGTATTTTGTATCACCTGTGGATATGTTAATATCTGTTGACCTGTCTGTCTGTCTGTTAACTGTCTTTTTGTACCTAATCTTTATTCCCTACGCTCTCTCTCTCTCTCTCTCTCTCTCTCTCTCTCTCTCTCTCTCTCTCTCTCTCTCTCTCTCTCTCTCTCTCTCTCTCTCTCTCTCTCTCTCTCTCTACGTCTATCTGTTTCCCTCAGTCTCTCTCTCTCTCTCTCTCTCTCTCTCTCTCTCTCTCTCTCTCTCTCTCTCTCTCTCTCTCTGTCTATCTTTGTCACTCGTTCCCTTGGCTTACAATCCCTTCTCTCTGATCAATATACTCCACTGTTTACACAGGTATCTATTTCAATCTATTCCTCTCTCTAATCATTTACATGTCCCAACTTTGCCCCTCAGAGAATACGATGCAAAGCCCAACTGAACAACAATCAACCCCCCCCCCCCCCCCCCCCCCCCCCCCCACCCCCCCCCCACCCCCCACCCCCCACCCCCCACCCACCCCTGTATCCGGACAATTAAAATGTTAAATTGAAGAGGGAGGGAATTTATCAGGGGAAAGCGCCAAGCCATTAGGCTATAATAGCACGTGGGAAGGGATCAGGATAAGGTATTTGGGATGGGTCGGGGGGAAAGGAATAGTGCCCAATAACTTGAACGGTCGGGGGATTGAAACCCGGACCTGCATGAAACAATCATCAATCTCACACACACACACACACCAAAATTAATTACACATACACAACCCCCCCCCCCCCCCCCCAAAAAAAAAAGAAAATTGAGTGACCATCATCCCATATTGAAACACAAAAAAATAAATCAAAATTGCCAGATACAGACAAAAAAAAAAGGCAGCCGGCTCTCCGTTGCCAGACATCTCCCACCTAACTGGCAACCCATTTTCCCATAATAAGCAGTTAATTAGTTATTGAGTTGTTAAAGGAGGTGGTCATCCGGGCGCTGTGAGGGAGAGGGGGATGGGAAGGAAGCAAGGAAGGAAGGAAGGAAGGAAGGAAGGAAGGAAGGAAGGAAGGAAGGAAGGAAGGAAGGAAGGAAGGAAGGAAGAAAGGAAAGGAGAGAGGGAAAACTGTTAGAAAGACGACACAAAATGCGGGAAAGAGGAAGAATAGTCAAGGTCAAGGGGAGGGGATGAACGGATGGATGGGACAGAAGGCGAGAGGAAGGAGCAAAGGGAAAGAAGGAGAAGATAAGATGAGAGAGGAGGGAGAGGCAGTAACGTGAATGGGAAAGCGAACGAGACATGCAGCAGACCAAGGAAGCAGATGAAATATGTAGTAGAATAAGAAAACAAACTAAGGAAGCAGCAGACAAAGAAAAAAGACGAAAGAGGCAGCAGACGCAGGAACCAGAGAGAGGCAGCAGCCGCAGGAACCAGAGGCAGCAGACGCAGGAACCAGAGAGAGGCAGCAGGCGTAGGAACCAGAGAGAGGCAGCAGACGCAGGAACCAGAGAGAGGCAGCAGACGCAGGAACCAGAGAGGCAGCAGACGCAGGAACCAGAGAGAGGCAGCAGGCGCAGAGGCACCATGACCAGCAGGAGGACCGGCGCGGTGGGAGCCAGAGAGTAATCACGCGGGTTTAGAGGAGAGCGCGAAGAGTCTCTATACTGCTGTTTACGGAAGGGGTTAGGCCAGCACCCAATACCCGCCATATCCGGATATCCGGGTTTCGAACCCCACCGGATATAAACCGCTGGGGTTGCTGAAAATTGGTCCTTTCAGCAACCACATGTAGGTCTTCCATATCCGCGTGTGGATATTTTAAATATCCATGTTTGGTGTTTGGATATTTGTGTTTGAGGCCCACGAATATCCGCCAGGAAGGAACTGTTTATACTTTAGTCCTCCATATATACTCTATTCCTCATCTAACCACAGAGTATCTGTGTCCATCACAACTACTCCCTACCACCAGTATGCTATCCATCCCACCAGTCTACCACCACCACTATCATAGCCACTACCACGACTGTTACCACCACCACAACCACTACCCACAGCTAAGACTACAACCAGGCTCAGCCATAACCAATGCCATCAGTACCAGCCACTACCACCACAACCATGAGCAACCACACCAACTTCCCCCCTACCACGAGGACCGACCTCTACCACCACCACCACTACCACTACCACCACATCCAACATTTCCTCGTGACGTGTTTTCTGAGGCTTATAGGGGGCCGGAGCGTGCTATTTCCACCCTCAGACCTTATTTCCCAGGAGTCTGTGTACACACACACACACACACACACACACACACACACACACACACACACACACACACACACACACACACACACACACACACACACACACACAGGGATCCAAGAGTCAATGCTCGATCCTGCAGACACAACTAGGTGAGTACACACACACACACACACACACACACACACACACACACACACACACAGGGATCCAAGAGTCAATGTTCGATCTTGCAGACACAACTAGGTGAGTACACACACACACACACACACACACACACACACACACACACACACACACACACACACACACACACACACACACACACACACAGGAATCGCGTCCTCGGCTCGCGTTATGTGGGGAAGTGGGTTGTGAAAGGGAAGGATAAGAGATGGGGAATAAATGAATAGGGGGAAGAGGGGATGGGGGGCTGAACAGGGGTTGGGGGGGAAGGAAGAAATGAAAATTCATATGATTATTGAGTTTGATGAGTGGCTGATCCTTAGTTAATGACAATATCATTTATAACAATTGTTACACAAACAATAAGTATGCATATTATACATGATACAGTCTTCCCCACAACAACAACATCATGTCTATAACTCTCATTACAAAAGGCTGACATCTCCATGTTATGATCACAAACAACATTTACAATACAACTCTGAAATACAGCTTGACATTTACACTTAATACATAATGACACGTGATACTTATACTGAGACACATACAGGCACACATACACACACACAATACATTCTAGCACATGTGGAGCATACTAACACACGTGCTTGGGTTGACCCCGGGCACCGCTGGGGTATTCTTTCCAGTATACATACATAAATACATACATACATAAAGACACAACCAGGGCCACACAGTTATGGAACGAGTTAGTATTATGACTTGTTGAAAACTTTGCAAATATAATTCAACATCTAAGAACTGAGACAATCTCCGGATACGAAGAATGACCATCCGAGACTCCCAACCTTACACCGTGGTGGTGGTAGTGGTGGTAGTGGCGGTAGTGGTGGTAGTGGTGGTAGTGGTGGTGGTGGTGATAGTGATGGTGGTCTTAATGGTAGCAATACATTGGAAAAGAGAGAGAGCCAGAGGACTGAGAGTGTACAACTCCTACACCACACCATAGTGTACCCGGATAATGTGTGAAACCTTGAATTAGATATCAGTTGGTTATCTCAGTACTCCAAGACGATTCAGTTGAAACCCCTGGTAATATTTTATAGCATATCATGGTCCAGTGGTGTAAGGCATGTGCTTGGAAGTACCCAGTTCTATAACAACAATAACTAGAAGAAAAAGAAGAATGATCACCAAGAATAGCGACATTAATAAGACGAACACAAGGACAAATAATAATATCCACACGAAAAATCATATTAATGGGAAGGAGAACAATGAGAGAGAGAGAGAGGCTCAGTGTAAGGAGAAAGAGGCGAGCAACAAAGCCCCGTCAGCGAGAGTCTAACGAGATGACAACGACGGCGTCTGAGAGAATATCAGATTAAATGGTGGAAAGCTGCCGTGTGGCCCCCTAGAGCGAGAGCCTTCTATCACGAGTGATCAAGGAAGGAGTAGGTAACGAGAGAGAGAGAGACAGAGACAGACAGACAGAGAGAGAGAGATAGAGACAGAGACAGACAGACAGACAGACAGAGAGACAGAGAGACAGAGACAGAGACAGAGACAGAGACAGAGACAGAGACAGAGAGAGAGAGAGAGAGAGAGAGAGAGAGAGAGAGAGAGAGAGAGAGACAGACAGACAGACAGACAGACAGACAGACAGACAGACAGACAGAGAGAGAGACAGACAGACAGACAGACAGACAGACAGACAGACAGACAGACAGACAGACAGACAGACACAGACAGACAGACAGACAGACAGACAGACAGACAGACAGACAGACAGACAGAGAAAGAAACGATGCCACATATAGAGTGTTCACGTTGAATGAGAATAAGAACGGCATCCATACCCAACGAAAACTTATATAAGTTTGACAAAAGTGACTTTCGTTAATCTGGATGTTGGTTCTAATAGCTCTGCCCCACACACACATCTGACCATAGTACGGGGTCACTCACCTGACTAAGCTGAAGGCCAAACACCTGTCTAAAGTGAAATAATATACACAGGATGCTGTAGAGGAATATACAGGAGAGTGTTATTGAGGGTAAACAGGAATGTATTCCTTTGGTACACATACCTGAGGGAGGAAGACATCTTCCATGGTGTGGGGGAAGAGGAAGTACAAGGGGTCGTACCTTGTATAGAGAGGCAGGGTCTCAGCCCCATAGTGTGTGTGTGAGAGTATGGAGAGAGGAGGAACGAAGGGGGTCAGGACGTAGTACTCACTATGTGTAGGGAACTGTACTCACCATATGTGGTGGAAGGGTTTCGTCGTGGGCAGAGAGGTAGTACCATTCTGGCTCGTCGTCGAGGGGGGCGGCGTTGAGGTCAACCACCAC